CAGAAGATAAAGGTACGTATGCATTTTCAAGGTCAATAGGAGATGTGCTTGTCCTTTTCTTCCATGGGTCTTGATTTGTAAGTACTCACTTTGCATGACTTGAGGAATAAAAAACAGATCTTAAGTAATTCTAATAAGTAACAAGCAACTTCATAAGCCTGTCTTGCAGGGTAAGGTTAGAAATAGTGGAGGATTTATAGGGTTGGTTTTTTTGGGGTTTTTTTTGGTTTTTTTGGGGGGGGTTTTTTTGGTTTTTTTTTTTTGGTAGTCCCCTAGAAGAAAATCACTTCTTGGCAATACAAAGTCCCTGGCTTGAAATTAAATAGGAAAGCATTTTTGAAATTTCCATTTGGAGTTGACTTCTGGGGTGCTTTTGTAAAAAAAATAAATGAACTGAAAATTCAAGTTCTTATTTTCTCCATGTCAAATGTATTAAATATTTATCCGTATAATGCTCTTATAATGCCATATATTACGGCCATATAAAGCCATCTATTACAGCATTTGGATTTATTATATTGAATGTAGCATGCACCAGTTTACTTGTGCTGTTTTCTCCTCCTTAGCTCCACAGTCTCACCAATGGTATTCTTGGGGTCCTCCTAATATGCAATGTAGATTGTGTGCATCTTGCTGGATTTATTGGAAGAAATATGGTGGCCTGAAAATGCCCACACAGACAGATGAAGATAAACTGTCTTCCAGCCAACCTACAGAGGTAGGATTGTGTAGATAAACTTTCCTACAATGAGCTGTGGTGCTTTTGCAAGATTGCTGTGATTTGAATATTTAATAGAATGATTTTTTTATGTATGTGTTCAACTTTGGTATTACAAAACTCAATTTATTAATCCTTTTCCTGTCTTAAGTAGAACTGAACAGTGTGGAGGTCCTGCCATGTCTTTATTTGACTAAGTCTTAGATAAACAAACATCCACTTCATGCATTTTTGATGGACAAATGTCATCTTGTCAGTCAAATGGTGTGTTATCTATCAAATGTTAATATGACTCTACAATATCTCATCTAGAATGGCATTATATATTCACTCACAATAGAGTTCTCTACTCTGTGTTTTACAGCTTCATACATAAGCCCCAGTTTTTTTGTATTGTGCTTATACATATTATTTGATTAGCCTTGTGAACTTATCCAAACTGTGGATTTCTTTAATGCTGTAATTCAGATGTATGTGTTATGATTTTTTGTTTATTTTTGTAGGAATCCCATGTTAGAACTCACATGTCCCGGCAGGCCACACAGGGAACTCCAGTTCGTAACACTGGAAGTCCAAAGTCGGCAGTGAAAACACGTCAAGCTTTCTTTCTTCACACAACGTGTTGGACAAAACTGGCCCGTCAGGTCTGCAAAAATACCCTCCGGCTGCGGCAGGCAGCAAGACGTCCCTTTGTCCCTATTAACTGTGCTGCCATTAAGGCAGAATGTAAGATGTTTTTTTAATTCTTAGTTCTGTGTGCTGTGCTTCCCACCCATTTTTGTCTTTTAATTTTATTTTCTTTTTCAATAAACATTTCTTGTCTATACACTTTTGCTTTTCATTTTTTCATTTCTACAGCATATCACCAACACATTGGATAAAGTCTGGCTGCCTTGAACAGATTTCAGGCTGGGGAAGCATTTCAAATAAATTAAAAAGGGGATAACTATTACCTCATTCACTTGCAAAAAATTGTCATTAAAAAAAAATCGGGGGCAGGGAGGGGAAATCAATGCCGTGACATAAAAAACATGCTTCCTACTGCGGAATACGAAATGCCTATATCTTATTTTGTTTGTTTATTCTTTTGCTGAGCAGAAAGTATAGATCTGTGTATGTTTTACTTTTTCTCAGTGGGGTTGGTCAAGATATAAGGAGCTGACGATGCATAAGAATTTAAATCTGGCCTGTAATACAGCCCTTTGTTACTGTGGTGATCAGATGGTGGTGATAGCCATGTTTATTATTACATCATAGTTGCATCTTTTTTTTTTTGTCTGTTCCAGTTTTAAATTTTAGTTTTAAATAAAATTCTTTATTATGCTCATTCTTTTTGTATAAATAAATATAAAGAACTGATAAATTCACTAGTAGTATGACAAAAGGTTATGAGTTGTTGTAGACAGCAACAGTAAGTCTATTTATGTGCATATGTGTGTAAGTTCTGCTGCAAAGTCACTGAATATTTCAGCAGGTTTTGTATCTGCGCTGAGCACGTTGTTTTACTGCTCATGCTGTTTGGTTACGTTTCCAGTCTTCCATAGATGCAGTTCTTGGAGCAGACACTTGGTATTCCAAGATGAGCCATGCTGGCTTATTGTACTGTTAATTGTATTAGAATTGAAGAGACCTTTTTAGAATATTAGATGTTGGTTTTATAACGATGTTTACTAGATTAATGCTAAATGTTTTCCCAGCATATTTAACTGGGATGCCAGTGATGTCAGCGTTGATTATAAGAAATTTACTCCATGGAGGCTTAAAATCTCATTTTGAGTAATTATTTTCCCCGTATGAACTTTAACACCAGCCATTCCTCACATGCAAACTCTTCACCTACTTCTGCAGTCATCCAGAAATTGGTGAATGTTTCTGTTCATTGTCCTTGTCTTATTTATTTAGTTGTCCTGTTGGCTGTTTCCTTCTTTCAAAGCTATGTAAGTCAGGAGCAGCTTTCAGATTTAAGGAAACCATATGTCCACTGTGTGAATAAAATGGTTTGTACTTTATGGAAGAAATGTGCCTAAGGCTGGACTAGGATTATCTTTTTAATCCTTAGTACAAAAAAGAGTTATTTTCTGAGAGAAGAGCTTTGTACCCTTTAATTTATGTAATTTGCACTGATTTCTGCTGACTCATGGAGGAAGATTAATTTTAGAAGTTCACTTGAACCTTGAATCTTTTTATCCATATTCCTATTTCTTCTCACTCACTGAGGTAACTCAATTCGAAAGAAGATGAAGCTTTTGTTTAAGGAAGAGAAAAAATAGAAGAAGAAAAAAGTTTCATCCAACTATTCATCATCATACTAGAACATGTGTTATATACACAGTTCAACTTGAAAACAAAGGAGTGAAAAGCTGAGCTT